TGATTTTAACTTTATACACAACTTCCAAAATACTATAATTAAAACTAAGAGTGTAATATGAATTTTAAACTTAGTTGCTGCGCAGACGCACACGTTATATTCGATGGTAGCCACGGGAGAACAGAGCCTAGAAAACTAAATTATCTGATTATTTTATTAAAATTCTTCCAATTGATTGTTTTTCTTCTATTCTTTGTTTCGATGGGGAGTACACAATTTATTTCAAAGTCCCCTTAATTTAATAGCTGAAGTATTGAAATGATTAGAATACGTGTTTTTAGTTATCTCGGTAAAATAGAACCACGAGTTTCACTAACAATTAAGAATTGTAGATAAGCTACTTAAGTTAAAGGAGCTTGATTGTTAACCCTAAAATTATTTTAAAGATTTTTTTATTGCAAAAGCCATACACCTGAGTCTGACTTTTAAGTATATACAGTTAAATATTGTGTTTAAAATATTTAAGTGTTTTTTTTTATGTTACTGCTATAGGAAAAAGAAAAGAAAAGTAAACGAGAATTGGTAAAGAGCACTTCTTGTAGGGTTATTTATGAAAAAACAAAACAAAAAAAAACATCTTGATACCAGTGAGTTTCAATCTGATAGTGAAGTTACGAAAAAAAAAGGAAATAAATATTAATTTAATATATTTTATTTACTTGTACTTCTCGTCTTCTAGATCAGAAAGAGCAAGATTGAAAAACGCCGACGAGAAAGAATTAACCAGAGCCTAGCGGAGTTGAAGGAACTTCTGTCTTTGGTGGATCCTAACGAAATGTGTGAGGTAATGTTTTGTGGTCTTTATAACCCAGAAGTTTTTTTTTGTCAAACACTCCAGCTTTAACAACCTATTATTTAGTTTCACTTATAACTGCTAATCACAGCAAGCTACCCACACTGGTCAGAACTGAACGTAGTAATGAATGTAGCTAATTTAATAATACCTTTCTTACTTATAGTGACTGGAATAGATTGATTCATCACTTGAGTACCCTCCATCTTAGCGATGTTTTCGGCCATAAACCCAATAATATTACATAAGGTTTGGCCAGCTTAGAAGATTTAGAGTAGTCATAAATCCATAATTCCCATTTTAAAAATCCACAAACTTTTTTCATTTTTCTATGTGAAATACATTAAGTAAACATGAAATATTTTTAAGAATAACATATCATAACGTTTTAGGACAACATGGGACCTAGTGGTCCATCTCGGCTGTTCCATCCTCTAAACTAAACTAACTATTGATAAATAAAATATAAAAAAATTAAAGCCAACCCTTATCATTCATATACTTATCAAGCTTTCTTTTAAACTCACTTATATTT